TATTGTAAAGTAAGGCAGTAGTTGCTGAGCGTCATAGAAGAGTGGTCACGAAATGTCACAGCCGAGGAAAGGCACAACTCGCAGCAATATTTCAGAGGCGGCTTTAATAATGGATAGCCACAACCCCATTCCGACATATATATGGGTGTCTTTTAGACGAAACGACAGACGTCGAGCAACGTTATATTGCCAATTTTGTATTTGGAGTTTGTTGAAGTGAAGAAAGAGCGACCCTTTGTACTAATAAATACAACTCTGTAATATCATATGTTTATGCTGAATTAATGAATAAATATGTCCTCTCTCCTACGGTTTGTACTTCACGCTAAACATTTTATTCCACTGTGTTAAATTATATCACAACTTTAACAGGTTATGGGCCTTTGACACAAAATAAAAAAGAAAATATATCGGGAATCGTGTAAAGTAAACGTTTTGGTATCTATTCAACGCGGATTGATTATTTTTAAAGAAATAATTTAGGATTTTGTTGCTTGAAAAAATGGCGACAAACGCGTAGCTTTCCCGTTCGAAAAATTGAAGGAATTGAAAATTTTGACATTTGGAAGCGCCACGCGAAATCATATCTAGCGATTAAAAAAACTGCTGGAGGGTAGTTGAAAAAGAACTACCTGCAGAAATTTCGGACAAAGATAAAGAATGCAATGAGCGTGCATTGGCTGAAATAACATTAATGATAGAACCGAATAACTTCTCTCATATTGCCACAGCTGAAACGGCATATCAAGCGTGGAATGCATTGTTCTCTGCATATGAAGACACGGGTCTTATGCGAAAGGTAGAACTTTTGAAGCAATTAGTGCAGTGCAAGCTTAGTGACTATGTATCAGTGCAAGTTGTGATGACGTCGCTTAAAGTCAAAAACGCTGGTCTCAATATAGACGATGAACTGACTGCTTCGTTAATGTTAGCAGGTCTATCGGACGAATATCGCCCACTTGTACTTGCCGTTGAAAATACAAAAGAGAAACTCACCATCAATAGTGTAAAAAATTTTCTGTTGCAAGACGTAAAGTTTGATAATTCAAACAAGAGTGGTGAGAATGTACTACATTCGAAAGAAAAATCAAATTCGAAAGTGAGTTCTAATAAGTTTCGATGTCATTCTTGTAAGAAAAATGGTCATTGTGCTCGAGATTGTCCTAATAAGACTAAGAAAAATTATAACAATACAAAAAACAAAAATDTTCTTTTCGCATCTTTACTTTATCATGACATTCGTAATAAAGATGATTGGCTTGTTGATTCGGTTGCTACTTCACATATGACAAAAAATCGTGAAATGATTGTAAATGAAGTGAAGATAGAAAATAAAAACATTCTAACTGCAAATAATGATGTAATTAAAGTTAACTCAAAAGGCGACGTCAATATGTGCTTATTTGCTAATAAAATAAAGACAAATGATGTTGTAAAAAACGTTGAGTATGTGCCGGAGTTATGTGCAAATTTGTTATCGGTACGACAAATAACGAAAAATGGAAACAAAGTACAGTTGATCTCCTTTTTACACGGTTTACTTTTGCACGGTTTTTTTTTTTACACGGTGTTTTTGTGTACCTCCTAGTTACCATTTTTACACGGTTTTACTTTTTTTGCACGGGTTTTTCATTTAAGTTATATACTATTTTTGCAATAAAATAAAAATTCTGAATCTATCCGAATATATAAAGATTCATTATTCAAACAAATGCAACTCTCAATTTTATGTACTTAAAAATACACTGCTGTTATTGGATGTCAAAGTAAAGAATTGATAAAAAAGGTAAACAAAGAAATGTCATAAGAAAATACAGCGACATGGCGTCCAAGCGAAAAAAATTATGTCTAAAGGAAAAAATTAAAATTTTAGATGAATTTAAAGTGGGGGAAAAGATTGCAATAATCTCAAAACGTACAAATATACATGAAGCAAAAATTCGTACCATAAGGAAAAACGAAACAACGATAAGAAAAGTGGTTTCAGCGGCCAGTGCTGGGTGCTTTTTACGTGGGTTTTATGTTCGCGATGTTGCAGTTTTGAAAGCAGAACGTGCCCTTTTATGTTGGATTGAAGACCATGCAGTAAAGAGGCTGCCTATTTATACAAGATCTATAAAAGCAAAGATGCAACAATTTTATGTAACAATTAAAAATGAAGAGCCTTCCACTTCAATAAATAGCGAGCGATCCCATTTTAATGCCAGTAATGGCTGGTTACGAAACTTCCTGAAAAGAAATTCACTACACAATGTAAAAGTTACAGGAGAAGGAGCCTCAGCTGATGAACATGCGGCAAGAGCATTTTCTAAAGAGTTCTTAGAAGCAATAACGTTGAGAGGTTATGAGGCTCACCAAGTATTCCATGCGGATGAGACGGAACTCTTTTGGACAAACATGCCTAGTCGGACTTATTTGGCAAAGCAAGAAAAGTCTGTGAAAGGTTTTAAAGTAGCAAAGGATCGTATCACGTTGTTGTTGTGTAGCAATGCATCAGGAGACAAAATGTTGAAACCTCTTCTTGTTAACAAAAATCTTAACCCTAGGGCTTTAAAAGGTCAGTTAGAATGTTTTGTATTAAACACTGATACGTTTTTTAATTCGTTAATTCGTTCCTCAGGTATCGACAAAAAACAAGCTTCCGGTCCATTGGATGTCAAATAAAAAGGCTTGGGTCACAGCTACACTGTTCAAGGGCTGGTTCTTACAACATTTTGTACCTGAAGTTCGAGAGTATCTCCGTTCAAAACAACTTGATTTCAAAGTTTTACTAGTCATAGACAACGCTCCTTGTCATCCAGACATTTCTCATAAAAACGTGAAGATAATGTTTCTACCTACTAATATGACGTCGCTAATACAACCACTCGATCAGGGCATTATTGCTACTTTTAAACGTTATTATGTGAAGCATAATAAAAGAAATTGAAAGAAATAATGAAATGAATGTAATATCTGCGTGGAAAGCGTTCGATATAAAAAACTGCATAGCTTGCATTAGTTTCTCTCTAAGAGAAATTAAGAAAACCACTTTAAATAGGTGCTGGAAAAACCTGTGGGCGGATGTAGCGGTAATGCATACTGAGAATGAGACATTATCTGAATATGCCGATATTTTCCAAGTCTCCCACATGATCGGAGGAGAAGGATTCCACGATATAACTATTGAAGACATCAATGAACTATTCGAAAATGTTGTTATTTCCGATGATGAGATTTTGCAACATTTTGCAGAAAACGATTGTAATGACAACAAAGAGAATGAGGAGGACAGGGAAGCACATTCGAGCGCTGCTGGTCTTAGTGCATCTTTGATCCAAAATGGGTTAAACATTGCGATGGAATTAGAAAATCATTTCCTCAACTTGGCACTAAACACGGAACGGTCCGCAAGATTCCATCGCCAATTAAATGAAGCAGTAGAATGCTACCGTGAGCTGTATGAAGAAGTAAAAGCAAAGAAGACGCAGCGATTAATGACCGATTTTTTTTAAATCTTAAACATATTTTATATTATATCCATTTTGTTAACATTCCTAGAATACTTTTTGTTTGTTCCTTTTAAAAGTAATACATATGTAAATAATACCATGAAAATCTACAATATTTTAATTGTGTAAGTTCTCACTGTACAAATAGACAGATTCACATATAAAATTAAATCTTTTTTACACGTTTGCCTTTTTTGCACGATTTATTTCGTAAATTGATCCTTATAGAGAGTTTTTTTTTTTAAATATGTCTTTTTTTGCACGGTTTTTTTTTTGCACGGGGAATTTACTGTCTTAGTTAACCGTGCAAAAAGGAGATCAACTGTATTTAGCAGTAACGACAAGGCCCGACATCTTGCATTCAGTCAGCAAATTGGCGCAAAGAAATTGCGATGCTCATATCGAACATGAGACGGCGGCGAAACATGTACTAAGGTATCTTTCTGCAACGAAAAAGTTAAAGCTTCATTTCAGAAAGACGGGAAAGCAAGCAGAGGGCTTGTAGATGCAGATTGGGGTAACAGCGTAGATGACAGAAGGTCCTATACCGGCTATGCATTCACTCTGGCAGGTTGTGTATTCTCTTGAGAGAGTAAGAAACAGATGACAGTTGCTTTAAGCAGTACCGAAGCTGAATACATGGCGTTATCGGCGGCAGCCAAAGAGGCAGTTTATTTGAAAAATTTGTTGCATGAAATGAATTGCTTCAATAGCAAAGGTGCATTCACGATGTATGATTATAGTCTAAGTCCATAACATTTGGCGCAGAATCCAATTTACCACAATCGAAGTAAACATATTGATAATAGATTTCATTACATACGACAAGTTGTAAAAAATAATATAATTGATTTAAAGTATTTAAGTGCAGATAATATGCCAGCAGATATTTTGACTAAAAATCTTTGTAAAACAAAACATGTAAAATTAATTGCATTACTTGGAATGAGAAAATAATTTTTTGATATTAAAAAGAAAATCATTGTTGTTGAGGAGGAGTGTTGAACAATCTGGCAACCATGAATGGTCATACACATGGCCCTTACAACAACAACAACGTTTTTCGGTTACGTTTAAGATTTTTGTAATCCATTTAGTTAGTTCTTAATAAACTACTGATGAGAACGGTCATATGAACTTTAACCAAGGTATTTTATTCATTCCGGCTCCCTGCGGTAAAAGTAAGTTTTACAACAATAATTGGAAGTGCTGTGGTTTTCTTAATCTGCGGCTATGCACAATATATGCATTTATCTAAATACAATTAAAATCCCGCATAAATTATTTGCTTTTTGAAACTACTACACATGAAAAAATGCATGGCAATGATGGTGCCATCTCATTTCGCTCATCATGGCTTGCTTTGTCTTCATCTGAAATCAGTCGGGAAATTTCGTGTTTCAACAGACAAAATAACTAAAATTGTTAAATAAATAAGAAATTGATTAATAAAAAGCAAATGTTGGTAAAAGTGGGAATGTGATAAAACTCATTGATATAAACACAGATACCAGAGCGAAAGATGTGCTTGATTTCAGTAAGTTTTTTCTTCTTTGTGAGTTAGTTAAAGTTTGTGAACCTTTCTTGCATTATCATTTCAACAGTTTTTTCAAAATTCGGCATTGCGTACAATATCACAATAAAGTTTCTGGACCGGGATAAAGTTCCAATGGAGGAAGACCAAATAGTATCTACAATTAAGCAGTTTGGAAGTTGCTCCTGTTTTTTGCTAGAAATTTTAGACAAAGGTAAGCTAAGACAAAATCCCAATTATTTGTTTTATATTTAATATGAATTACAAAGTACAATCTTAAGCAGAAAATAATTTCAGTGAGAAGGCAATAAGCTCTAGTTTTGAAGCTATCGGAAATGAAGTGAGTATAAAAAATGGGCGTATGTGCAGAATATGAACTACTAGCTACACACATAGCATTTGCACGCAAATAAGTCGCATTGATCATTTGCATTCAATAAATGTTCATATTCTGCTCACCGAGTATAAAATATTTGAATGTTTACAAATATTGAGTTGTTGTATTTACATAGGCTTTATTGGACTTTCTTAAGGAAGGTGATGGTGCTCATATACTGGAGGAATACAACCAAACAAAAACATTAAGTGATGCCTCACGCCGAATATTGGTGCGTGAAGCTGTAAACTTTGTGGTAATTATCCATCTCGCCAACAAAAAATAGCTCTTGCCAAAGCCATTATCGCCAATTTTCCAGTTTACATATGCAGCGCAAGCGAGATATTAGGAATTGTAAGTAAGTTTTTTTAAGTAAAGGTCGATAGTAACTATAAATACGGACGGCGATTATAATCTTTTTCTTCACAGGATCTTTTTTACAATCCCGCGGAAAATTCAGGATACCTGGTGTAAAAGCTAAAAAATTTGAATAGAAAAAGGCGCACGAATCTTAACCAGAATTCAAGTGAATCAAATACAGATGGACGTAAGAGCACAGCAGAGGAATTTGGAGCACAGCATTTTTGGACAAAAATGGTCTCGCTTTTTGCAAAGCGTGCAAGAAGAACTCTTTAAATATATTGTCACATCTTAACAGACACGCCAGTTGTTCTTCTCATGTACAAAATATGGAAACCAAAAAGAGTCAATTATCGATGGAGACATTTTTGGATAATGGTCGTGAGATACGTTGTGAACTTTATTGCAAACGATCGATTTTTAGCATTTATAGGAGTATTGCTCCGTGAAACCACATAAAATATTAGGTGTTTGTCAAACACGATGTCTGTCTTTAGAGGGAGTTGTTTCGCGAATAAATGAGCAATGGGACGCCTTAAAATTTTTTTTATATATGCGAAATTAGAAGTCAATGCAACTCGATCAAACCAATTGGCTGAAAAAATGGAAGATAATAAAACAAAATCCTATTTCCTATTTCTTTCGCATGCGTTGCCTTTGATTAACAATTTGAACAAAGAGTTTCAGTCAGAAAAAAGTCGTCTTCCATATCTCTATTCGAGTATGAAATCATATTTCTTGTTAATTTTAAATAATTTTATTGCAAAGAACAAAGAACTTCACGTCAATATTAACTATAAAAGCACTTGTAATCATATTGAACTACCAAAAATATTTATTGGTACAAAAGCAGAAGTTCTATTAAAAAAAAGGCAACAGCTGATGAAATAAATGAAGTGAAAGTTAACATCCTGGCATTTTACATAGAGCTTTTAGATCAAATAAAATCAAGATTTGATTTCTCCAGGAACAATAAAAGCATGTAGTTCTGAGGAAATAATTGGCGCCCAAAACGGATAGAACCAAAACAAGGAATACTGTGGACAATAGGACTACTGAGGGACCATACCAAGGACAATTGGCAGCCTGATCTATAAAATTATCATGTAAGTACTCTGTGATCGATATAATAAAAAAATGGAAACGGAAAAGGAAAAAATATAATTATAAATATAATTTATTGAAGTTAACTTAAACAAAAAATAGCAAATAGCGATAAATTAGTATTTTTTATTATTTTTGAAGTGTAAGCTAAATTTTTTAGGCGGCCCACAGAGCTAAATTATTTGTGTTTAACTAACCATGAAGAAGAGCGCTAAAGAATAAATAAAATCGTTGATACAGTCAGGTTATAAGTGACATCAAAATGAATAAGGAGACATTAAGGATAATAGTGACAGCTGCCGTCACTGCAGCTACGGAAGGGACTAGGGCCTCTTTCGAGAGGACAATAGGATAGTTGACAGAACGACTAAAGGCTTTAGAAACTCTATTAGAAGTGGAGGAATATGAAGCAGTGACTATAGACTCCACCGTTCGGTGTGATGAATATCTAGAAATAATTCAATCTCTGCCTGAATTCAGTTGCGAAAGGTCACGATACGTTAGTTGGCGGCAAGCTGCATTTGCTGAGGTATAAAATCGATTTACTTGAATATACACATTTAAGTTAATTAACCTTCTTCATCTTACTGAAGTTTACATAAAGCCATAACAGCAGTGCATTTGGAAAAATTCCACAATCTTACATTTAGGTATGAAATCGATTTTCTTGTATATACACTTTTAGCAATCCATATCGAGTTGGGAAGATAGAAAACTCATTTAAATCATCCACGGTACTGCCGTAAGAAATGAAAGGTGCTTAATTAACGTGCTTGGAAAGATTGCTCCTTTTTACCTTCTTTCCGAACTTAAAACCTTTGATGGTATTATTGGGTTTAGGGTTTGAAAGGACGTTGACGCAAAAATAGATTTACAAAATGGATTCTCTTAAGAATGGTGAAGGGAAATTGTCTTATTATGACTGTAAAAACGTCAATATAATAGTTGCAAATGGAAATTATCCTAATGGTTATCCGAATAATTCTATATGGGTTATCGACAAAAAAGGGATAGACGAGAACTGGAGAAAGAAGATGAGGATGGTAGTTTATTTTAAGAAACTGAATGTCAAAACAGTTTCATGGAATTACTCCACGCCAACCAGTAAGCGCGCAAATCTTGGTTACAACCAAAGGTTCATATTTCAACACAGTAACAGAAATTAACCCCTGTTGTTCACACAACAACAACCGCCAAATCACATAAAGTTACGCTACAACAACCACCCCTCAAAACAAACTAACTCTTTGTTAACCCTGGGTTCAACCGGTCTTTCCTTTGAAATTGAACCTGCCATTCCCTGACATAAAAAGATAAAACAAAAACGTTCCTGAGGAAGGAAGAACAAGAAGATACTGAAACATAATGGAATCTCATAAAAAGAGACAAAAAATATTTAATTTGTGTCGTCCTTTATTGAACACCGACATAGAGATGTCTGCTCAAGAGATTGCAAGCCTCAGGGCTCAAATTAATGTTTCATCTATAACTAAGAATCAACAAAGAGTGGCTACACTGGAAAACAGTCTGCCACCGAACGTTACAATTTCTGAGCAGTACGAGGACTGTAAACCACACACCAACAACGAAATGCAGATTAACTTGCATATTTTCAAAGTGTTACGGATT